ACTCCTGGTGTATTACACTGCGGTGGACATTTGAAAGGAGGCCCCCAAAAGGTCACTTAAACCTAATGCCCAAAGACGGGACTGTTGGATTTCTTGATGTTGACAGTAGATTTCTACTTAGGAAAAATGCATTTACGTCTTTGAGTTTTTAAAAACATTACTCCTCATAGAGGTGATTTTTACCCAAGTGCTTACCATTCAAGTCTCATCAACCAACTGTTTTCCCAAGGTAGGCAGGTAGCTGGGGTTATAAACTCTTAAGAGGAAAGCAGTAAATCTGGAGAAAATGGCTTGCCACTTGAGGGATTAGCAGTAACTTATCAAAAGGAGGCAGTAAGGGCTGTGGAAGGCAATGGCTATGAAGCATCGCTATTAGGAAGAGCTTAAGGTCCTGAGACGCCAAGCCCCAGCCGCCTTATCCCAGCAGCCACTGTCCAGCTCCTGGGCTCAGCTTTTCCCCGTGACAGCCGAGTGGCTTCCTGATGGCAGAAAGGGAAGCTGGCGCTTGGAAGTCAGAGCGGACAGAGCAGCCTGTTCTCCCAGGCGTATCTCTGTAGACATCGCTTACCTAATTTCAATTTCAGAACTTCCTTGGCGGCGTTATCTCTTTTTAATAGACGGCTCTTAAAAACTCATGGGAACGCATACAGAATTTTAAAATGAGTCGGTAACATGGGAGACCAAGAGAGAAACCTTACAGCAAAAGAGGAGCTAACGGTGGAGGCGAAGAGAAGAAAGCCCGCCTGCCCACGAAACACCAGCTGTCTCTTTTGGGAGCGTCTCTCTACCGAGTCTACATGGACCAGCAGCTCTTGCATTACAAAAGGCACTAAACCCGGGGCTGAACCACCATCAGGGGCCTTGTGTGTCCACTTCCGGCTCTGCCAGTGGCCAATGGGCCTTAGTCAGGCCTCCATTTCCTCAGCTAAGAATCCACTAAGGACTCCTCCCAATTAAAAATGCTATGATCTGCGAGCTGACTTTTTTCATGTGGATAATATTATTCTAGCGATGGAACTGAGCTTCCCAGTGGTGAAGAACTGCTTGCTGACACCCACTTCCCATTTGCCACCACCAACTTCCGGTTCACTACCACCAACTTCTGGTTCACTATCACCCACTTCCACTTTGCCACCACATACTTCCGGTTTGCCCCACCCACTTCCACTTCCCCCAATTTTTCATGCCGTACTTAAATCTTTCAGAAGTTTTCTTCTTTGAGAAAAAAATTCAAGGAATAAGAAAATAGGGATGGAAGGGGAAGTCACAGATTAAGAGGCTAAAAAGAGATCGCAACCAGCCAGTGTGTTAACTTCATTTGCATCCCGAGTCAAACAAGCAGATTAAAAATTTTTTTAAAAAGACATTTATGAGATAATTGGAAATTGGAACACTTAGATATTAGAACTGAAGAGATGATCATTAATTATTTTGGGGTCCTAATGGTGTTATAGTTATGTTTTTAAAAGGGTCTTTATCTTTTAAGATACATACTGAAAATTTTGCAGATAAAATATGATGCTGGGAGCAGTTAGTGAGTGGTGATATAGATGGGACAAGTTTTGGGCATAAATTGACAATTATAGTAATTAAATCATGGGTACACGGGAGTGGGTTATACTATTTGGCCAATTCTTGTATACATTTTATAGTTTACATAATAAAAAGTGTAAAAAACCCAGCTTGATGGGGTTTATCTATGGAGCACATTGGCGGAGGTGTTGGAAAGGGCTGCTTGTCATAGTTGCATAATCACTGGGGGTAAATATGGAAGTTCATCAATCAGAAAGGCTATGGTGAGGAGCTGGCTGGCAACGGGCCCAGCTCTGTGTGGCTGTCATCTAGCCTCTAGCCCAATTTACCCACCATAAATAACCGTCCATGTGAATGCTTTACTATTTAAATGCACATTCGCCACAGCTGCTGAGCGTGTTTGTTTATGTAGCTATGAACCCTTCTGTAAACATCACTATCTCAAAATCACCCATGTGTCAGGAACATAAAGGGCTCCCTTAAAAAATATATTTGTGGGATGAGACACGGCCAGTTCCCAGATGTCTGGGTGGTGGGTGTCAGAATTTTGCAGGGTTTGATTCATTTTCAAAAATAGAATCACATGACTGGAAGGTTCTTAGAGGTCACTGTACACATTTCTCCGAGTCTGGGCAGAATCAGACTGAAGCCATCCCCTGAGGATGTGAGTCTGTCTTTTGTGGATGCGAGTCTGCCTTTTATGAGGCCAGAGAACTCATCAAGTGAAGGCCTGGGGTCATGTCCTGCAGGGCACCGGGGTTGGGCAAGACGCACACCCTACCCTCAAGGTTCTTACTTTCATTTTCTAAAAATGAGCCTGACTCTGAGTGCTGGGCAAAGGCTTGCTGCAGTGCCGCTGGCGTTGGAATCATCTGCCAGATGTTCTGTGCTGAGCCTGGGACCCAGCTGACTGAAGGACCGGGTGGCCAGCCTTCCCCAGGGCAGCTCAGCTCTCCAGAAATACCATGTTCTGATCCATGTATGCCCACACGTGGGTGACAGGGAGAGGGCACTGCATCAGGGTTGCAATGTGGGGCTTGTGCTTGAAATAGGCCCGCTACCTGAGATCACGGATAGTAGTTTAAGGTCAATTAAGACATTTTTGAAAGGAGAAATGAGTAGAGCGGAAGCTGTTTTGTGCCAGCTCACTGTAGTCAAGGTGTCCCATCCAGCCCTCCAGTGAATAATTAGGCCCTTGTGAATTTGTTTTTCTCAGTGTGCATTTGATCCACATTAATTTTTTCCTGTGACTTTGACTCATTGAAGCATTTCTTCCCCCTAAGGATCTGTTTAATGCCCACAAATACCAACTGTGTTTTTCATTCACAAAGAAAAGCATTCCCCTGAAGCTTAAGAGATCAGATGTGCTATAAGCACTGAATTGTATGAATCCCCCCAGGAAAGGAACAAGACATGTCCAGCTTCCAGACAAGCCCAGGACTTTCTAGAACATTCTTCCCTTCACTTTCCAGAAGTTAGAAAACTTTTTTTTTGTTTAAATAGAAAATTAATAGGGGTTTCCTTTTTCCAAGAACAAAGGCAGGTGTTTTGAATCTTTTCTTTTTTGCTGGCACCTTCCCCCTTTCCTCCAAGAAAGCAGTAGAAAGGCCGTGGCAAGCATCACTGTGAATTATCAAGAAGACGACGCCCCTCTCTTTAGAAAGGTTCAGGCATTACAAACGGTCCTCAGAAAGACAGGGCCTGCCCAGGGAGAATGCCAGCTCAGGGACATCACAGGATAATTGGCTTATTCTGGCTTCATGTATTTTTTTGAGATTGAGTTTTGGGTGGAGCGAGCATGAAGCTCAGCTCCTACAGTATGAAGCTCAGATGAACACCACTAACCAGAAAGTACATATTTCCAGTGGCTTTTGCTTCTTGAGCTCAGAGATGCAACGATAACAAGGCTTGTCCACTGCTCTCCCTCAGGTCCTATTGGGAGAGTTGATAGTGAGAAATCTAATATTCAAATTGCATCATGAGTGGTTGGTTTATGCTGCCAGAGGCTGTGTCGCAGGGGCCACCACTAGGGGGATCCAGAGTCCCTGTGGTCAGCCCCGTGGGAGAAGTTTCTGGTCTGTGGGAAATGACAGGGCTCCCGGTTTAAATTGCTCCCTCCCTCTCTCCTGCCTCTCCACTCCCCCAAACACACAACCATGGCTTCAGGAATACATCCGAAGTCAGGCTAAAGTAACAGATAGCCCCGTTCACATCTGTAGCAATCTTTTAGTATTCCACAATAATTTACAGCTGTTTTCGGATTAGGTCCATGTTCCTTTAGTTCTATGGAAAGGAGCCCACTCAAACCACCGAGTTCCATGCAAAGCCTGCCACTCACATTTTCATTGCTGGTTGCATTTACAGACTGATGGCAAAGTTTCCACCAGGAGAGAAACTGGCTAGAGGGATGACCTTGCCTGCTGGGCACAGGCAGGCGGAGACACGGGACCAAGGACTTTCTTTTGAAGGGATGACGGAGGTCAGCTTAGGGGTTGATGAGGAATCTGGGGCCTGCCTGTGGGCCATGTATTTTCAGACGAGATAAACCAACCCCGAGCCTCCAGTTGAAGACTCCCAAGCACAGAAGGGCAGATTGCATAACTAAACAGGATCCCAAGGCTACTATCGATGCTCAGAAGAACAGGAAAGAAATTGATGAGCTGGGGTTCTAGTTTATATGATTTCTGGAGGACACCATTGCTAGCTTAGGTCAGAGTTTATGGCTCTGTTTTGTGGACAGTTACAGATAAACACGGGCAGAACCTGTTTTGCTGGTGGGATGAGTAACACGTGTAAAGTTCAGATATGAGTGAAGACTTCAATAGAAGCAGACCAGCTCTCTATTCTGGGAGCAGATGATCTTCCCTAAAGCACACCAATGAGAGGTCAATGGGGTTGCGACGAATGGATCTTCGGCTTTTTGCTTTCCTGCTGGAGCTATTCACTGGGGCTGCAGGATTGTGTCTGCCGGGGGCTCAGCAGGTAGACTATGGAGATAGACGCCAAGCACTCACTCGACATAAAACAATGCTATGGGCCTTGCAAATAGCTCCCAAAGAAGAGGGGAAATTGCATTTTTATTAAAGCGATTTGTCAGGCTTCCTCTGAAAGCCTTCCCTGGCGAGGCAATAAATAACCCCAAGTATTTAAATTGACCATGTTTCAGCGCCATTTAAAAGATGCTTTAGCGAGAAATTTTAACTTACGTAAATACTTGGAAATTTAACATATAGCAGTGTTTTTAAAACACTTGTTTATCAATTTGTTTCTAAAGGCCTTTAAAAAAGCGACGGCTAGCCTTCTCGGTGGATAGATTTGAGGGGATAAGCAACATGGGCATACCACGTCATGAAGTGAAGGGCGGTGTCAACAGTGAGTGCGGTGCAGCTTCCCCATAAATAAGAATGTGAGACCCGGTTGAAAGGAGCCTGGGCCCCACAGACGCCCCAGGACGGAGCAGGCCTTACCTGTGGCTTCCACCATCCCTTCCAGGATGACCACGATCTCCAGCTCCTCTTTGGGCAGCTGGGCTTTGGAGATTTCCCAGAAAGGACTCTGTTGGTTGATTTCGTGACTGATGATGAGAGGCGACACCAGGAACAGCCGGTCGTCCCCGGTGTAATACCCGACGTTGATGTCCGTCTGGTTCAAGGGGATGAACTCCCCCTCTGAGGTCTGTTTGGATTTGATCAGCTTGGCTCGGATGGAGGCCTCCACGATGTGGGAATTCCTGAGGTCCCCGACGCGAAACATCAGGCACAGCTTCCCATCCCGCATGGAGATGACCGCGTGGGTGGAAAAAACCAGGGTCTCTGCCCTCTTCTTGGGTTGCGATATTTTGACAAACATGCATCCCACCATGAATGCGTTGACAATGGACCCCAACACCGACTGGACTAAGAGGAGAATAATTCCCTCCGGGCACTTGTCCGTGATGACCCGGTAGCCATAACCGATGGTGGTTTCTGTCTCTATTGAGAATAAAAAAGCAGAGACGAACCCGTTGAGGTTGGTGACGCAGGGAGTCCACGACGGGTCCTCTATGTGGTCCATATCTCCTCGGATATACGCTATTAGCCACCAGATCATCCCAAAAAAGAGCCATGTGACTGTGTAAACCATGACGAAGATCAGCAGGTTGAACCTCCACTTGAGGTCGACTAAGGTGGTGAAGATGTCGGTCAGGTAGCGGTAGGTCTCCCTCACATTGCCATGGTGCACGTTGCACTTCCCGTCCTTCCGCACGTACCTCTGGATTTTCCTTTTGGTCCGGTCTCGGCAGATGTGTCTCGGCAGGTCGTCCCTGGCCTGCTTAGGCAACTTTGGCTGGTGAATGGCCACTGGGCTCTCCACGTCCTGGTCCATGGAGTCGCCCTCCAGGACGTTAGCTGGTGGTTTGGAGAAAAGAAAAGAAAGACCGAATGAAATGCTGGCTCTTAGGGGATCATGGAAACCACACCGTGTGTGGGATATGAATGTCAACCAAACGCCATGTGTGTAGCTATTCACAAAGTAGACAGAGTGAGTCTTAGGTGGCATCGTCTGGACAGGCCCCGAGTTGACTTGGACTCTGTGCTCTGCCGTCTACCTTTGTGTAGGGACTTCAACCCCCTTCCCAGCAGACAGCTCCCGGCTGTGCAAGCGTCTCCAGGCCAGCAAGTTCTGAGAGGCAGCTCTCAGCCAGGGGTCTCCCCTTCACCTGAGACACCACGGCAGGGAGCTGCACACTGCGGATAGAGAGATGTGCTACTTTTTATATCACTTCCCTGCCCCCCTCTCCCTGCCCCACAAATGTGGAGAGGGGGCCTTTCGGGAGGTGAGTAAGGTTGAATGAGGTCATACGGTGAGTCCCTAATTCTGCAGGGCTGGTGTCTTCATAAGAAGAGGAGGAGACACCAGGATGTGTACCTGGAGGAAAGGACATGTGAGGGCCGTGGGAAGGCGGCCGTCTGTAAGCCAGGAGCAGAGGACTCCCAGATCAACCAGAGTCCCCAGAAACCAACCCTGCTGGTATCTCGATCTTCAATTGCCAGCCCTGAGAATTGTGGGAAAATACAATTCTGTTGTTTAAGCCTCCCAGTTTGTGGTCCCTGTTATGGCAGCCCAGGGAGACTAACACACTATCCGAATTCACTGAGCCTCAGTTTCCACATTTACCAAGTGGTGATCAAGATGCCCAATTCATGGGGTTGTAGTTGGATAAAACCACATACCTGCCTGGAACTGACACATAATACATTTTCCTTTCAACTAAATTATTCCTTTGCTGCTTTCCTTATGTTTAGGGCAAGATCTTTACATTATCACTCAGATTTCAGAGTTTAAAAAAAAGGTCTGGTTTTTGTTGGTTGATTTCATACCAAGGTTAAAACAGTGTGGGGGAATGTCTTTTTTTGAGTGTTTACACATTTGATTTGGTTGCTGCCTCCACATTGACTATCTGCAGTCCTGGCGTGTGGCTCTGTTTTGCTGAAGGCCCTGTGATGAAAGCATTGGTAGAACCGGCAGTTACTCATGCGTTAGGAAAACTCTTCTAGAATCTGCGCGCAAGGGGAAGTCTGGCACGGCTGCTGTTACCACACACATAGAAGCCACCATGCGAAGCTACTTGCTCAGCCAATACCTTCCAAGCTCCCTAAGGGGCTTACGGGCCGTTTCTTCCCCCAGGCTCTCCTGTGTCCGTTGACTCTGTCATGTGTTTTGTCCACGGCGCCTACGGTTTGTCCCCTTGGTTAACCACAGAGAAAGGCAGTCTGTCGAGAAAACCTCATCTGGTTAAGGAAACAGCTGGGGGTGGGACTCAGGTGGTGCCAACGTGACATCAGTGGCCTAGGTCTGCTCTTATATTTCAGCCCCCGGAAGAGGCCCATCTGGTCTGTAGAGCAGATGGTTCGGTTTGGCAACTTTGACTTTTAGATCCTAGCCCTCCTTCTCCTCTTATTCCTCCTCCTCCCACTCCTCCTCCTCCTTCTTCTCACTCTTCTCCTCCTCCTCTCCCCCTCCTCCTCTTCCTCCTTCTTGGAACAGATATCAGGACAGGAGTGAGAGGGCAGCAGCTGAGGCTGGGATGGGTGGAGGTGAGTGGAGAATCTAGATGGATGTGCCGGTGACGTCCCTCTCACTGACGACACCCCCAACAAGGCACGATGATTGTGACCCCGAGTGGTCCCAGCTGAAATCTCACTGTTGGTTTTGCCCCGAGTGGGACCAGCTCTGGGCTCACGCCCCGGCAGGAGGGAGGCCTTTGCTGCAGACCTGGCGAGTGCCTTGCTTTGACCCAGCTGCTAAGCTCCTGATGGTGCAAAGCCACACGCGCCCTCGTCTCCCAGAGCCCTTCCGTGGAGAAGACCGCTTGTCAGATTAGCTGCTTTTTAAGTCTTCAGCGAGATTCATACTTTAAATGTCAGGGAGGAAGTCCACGCCCGCCCCCGCCACCCACGGTGAAGCTGCTTTCCCCCCTTCCTGGCTCAGCTGTCACTTCAAGCTCCAGGCGGGCCTTCTGAGCTGGGGGGCCGGTGTGCACAGTTACAGTGAGTGGGGTGAGTGCTCTGGACAGTCCCGGGAGCTGCCAGTGGGCCTCCAAACCTACCCCCCCTCTGCTAGCTCGGGACTGAGCACAGTTCCTGGCCTCCTCCGCATTGAGGGGTGGCCACGGGCCGAACCCCCCTTCTGTCCTTAAAGAGTATATGTGCCCCCCCTGTGCCCGTGCCCTTCCATGGGGAGTGGAGGGGCCTGGGGCCTGTGCTCGTGGCAGAGCTGCCGTCCGACTAGAAACCAGAAAAGAAGTGACTGAGTCTGAGCCATTACGCAGTTTGCGTCTGGAATGAAATCGAGCCTCATCTTTCACTTTATGGGCGGCAGCAGTGACGCGCACGGGCCGAGGGCACCGTGATGAGGGCGCTGCGTGGGAAAGAGCGGGGAGAGGGGACCGGAGGGGAGATGGAGGGTTTGTGTTTGGCACCTGCAATGAAGCAGCAGGTGGAACAGGTAAGTCCTGGTGACTCAAATGCCTTTTAAAAGCAAACAAACAAAAGAAAGCCGGACGCTCCTGGGAGCGCGGTGGGAAGGTGGCCTCTGGTGCCCTGCGGCTGAGGCCGGCGTGCGGGCCAGGTGTGTTCCTGGGAAGATGGGGAAGGGGTTCAGAAGGTGCCACCCCAAACCTGCCACTGGCATGCTGACTGTTTTGAGTTAAAGGTGCCCAAGAAGCAGCCGGTGCAAGAAGCACACGCTGACCCGCCTTGTCCTCCTGAAATCAGGAGCTAAGTCCCGTGTCAGAGGAGTGCTCCCTGCTGCAGGAGAGACAGGGAGTGCAGGGCCGAGAAGTCCGCATCAACAGACCGCGTTAAACACACCAGGCCGACCTGGTCGCTCCTTCCCCGTGCGCCACCCAGAGCCCCAGCCTCCCTGTCTTGCCAGCTCTTCCCAGTTTATTCTTTGTCTACAGGCCTCAAGGCTTCCTGCTTCGGTCGCATCGTTGGGCCTCCTGTGAGGCTTCCCAGGCACATGGGAAAATTCAATAAAACGCGTCTGCTTTCCTCCTGCTAATCTGACTTACGTTCCGTTTAGTTCTTAGGCCCCCGAGAGACCTGCGGGCAGAGGGGAATTTTTCTTGCCTTGCGGTGGGGAGGGGCGGCCTCTATAGTGGCTGGTGGGAAAACATGCTCAGAGGCCAGAGAAACCAAAATTCTCATGAGGCCGCAATACCTGGGGACTAGGAGAGACTGAAGCCAGAGTCCAAGGGGCAGGGGGCCAGGCCAGTGAGGGGTGTGGGGTGTGGAGTGGGGGCCCAGCTGGCGGCTGTGTCCAGGGCAATGGCAGGGGCCCTGGGCAGGGGAGAGAAACTGCCTCAGCTCCGGGGTGCAGAGGCGTCTGGGAGAGAGCCATGATGGCTCTCAACCTTTCTTTCTTCCCCGGAACCCGAGGTGTGAATGGAAGGGGTGATCTGAATTGCATTTGCAGGAGCGTTTGGAGCTGCTTGGCACAGCCAGCTGCAGCTGTGGCTTGGAGAGCAGACATCCTCCCTGCATGCATGCGCAGACCTGGGTGCGAACGACCTCTCACCACCTCGGCCGCAGCCCCCCACGGCCCCAGGGCCCACTGGCTGTCCATGTAGACCCCGACCCCCGCAGCCTCACCCCCCGCCCGGCTGCACATGCTTCAGCATCGTGCACGTAGGTTGACCGGGATAACGCAGAGGAACTGCTAACAGTGAAGTGTGTACAGCGCACAAGAGGATATGCGAGAGGTCCTGAGGGGCGGCCGCGAGGCGCTTGGTGGTTCATAAGTCGATGCTCAACCACTGAGCCACGCTGGCTGGGCCCTTCCTTATTTCTTATATCAAAATGAATTCCAAGTGAATTAAGGATTTAAATGCAAAGAAAAAAATAAAACTACCGAGGGAGTGGAGATGTATTTTTATAATTCTAAAAGTTGGGAAAGCTGTTCTAACCATGATAGAAATCCAGAAAGTATTTTAAAGCACTGTTATTTTTGTCAATATAAAAATTTTAAATGTTTGTAAGGAAAGTGGGAAGACAAACCAGCAAACATATTGGCAACACATAACATACACATTCCCAATTTACAAAAGCAGCAAACGTCCCGTAGAAAACATGGTCACAGGAAACGGAGAAGGGGCTTAGAGGAGAAAAAACACACGAAGGTGTCAAGCAAAGGGAAAGACTGTCCAACTACGGCCAAGTAAAAGCAGCGCAAATATCATAGCACTCTCCCCCCAAAGTTAGCAAATTAAAAATAAATGACAGATGGGGATGTGTGTTGGGAAGGCAGTGGGATTGGGAACTCAGATGTGTTATTGTAGGTGTTGACTGGCAGTCTTTCTGGAGGGCAGGTGACAGGAAGTCTTCTGATTTAGAAATGGTTAGAGGTCTTGGATTAGGGGCTAGGCATTCCTCCCAAGGGAATAATTCCACAAACGTTCACCAGTTTCCACAGGGCTATATTGCAGCCTCTCATAGAGCAGTGAAATATTAGAAACGAGTGAAGTCCTATCAGCAGAGCACTGGTTAAACACATTTCTGCACATATCATCAATGGCATACTATGCGGTCATGAAAAATGATTTTCCAGTGCTCTGGGGCCTTCACCTGTTTGTGCAAAGACCGCCTTCTTTTTTTTTTTTTTTTTAAATATATTTTATTGATTTTTTACAGAGAGGAAGGGAGAGAGATAGAGAGTTAGAAACACCGATGAGAGAGAAACATCGACCAGCTGCCTCCTGCACATCTCCCACTGGGGATGTGCCCGCAACCAAGGTACATGCCCTTGACCGGAATCGAACCTGGGACCTTTCAGTCCGCAGGCCGACGCTCCATCCACTGAGCCAAACCGGTTTCGGCGACCGCCTTCTTAATGAGGCCTCTGTTTA